GTTGGACACAATTGTCAGGCTGCCTGATGATTGCGTACAGCATGAAACAGCCTGTCACCTCTGAGTGTTAACTTCAATGTTCACTTTTTATATTTATATTTACATACACTCTATCTCTGATATTGAGCACTTTATCCCATAAATATAGCACACTTTAAAACTATATTTTTATATATATATATATATATATATATATATATATATATATATGACCTTGTCCAAGCTGAGTAAAACACACACCCTATATAAAAAGATGGTGCTGAACAGTTCACTGGTTAACCAAGAAGGGATTAAACATATTCTAATGTTTGAACTTTGCGTCAGATTTTGGGACATGAGACAGTATTTTTTTTGTGTGTGTGTGTGTGCATTGTATCAAAACTTTTTTTTTAATGTTTGTTACTTACTTTTTTTTCTTTGCTTGTTATTTTTTTGCTTTTATTCTTTAATTATTTTTATTTTTCTGGATGATAAAAAATTACAAACATCCTCTTTTGAACTCAGAAAAAAAATCTTGACATGTTTTTTGTATTCTGAAGATGTTTTGTTTTGATATTTTTGAGTTAACCAGCAATTCTCAAACAAGAGGAATTTCATTCTAAAGGCACATATATACATACATGCACAAACATATATATATAGAGATATATATAGGAAGTATATAATGTGTGAGGGCACATATATATATATATATATACACACACAAATGATAGAATAAAAATCAACTGTTCATACTTTACTTTTAAAAAAGTGCTCAATACAAGTTAGATCAATACATTATTATTATATTTTTATTATAAATGACACTGGCATATTTTCTGTAATCATTAATGATGGCCTATCTATCTCCTGGTTTATCGTGATATAAAAAAATGCCTCACCCAATTCCACACTCTGCGCTTTTCTATTTAGCGTAGATGTGACATTTAATTGGTTAATCATGACATACCTACAAGTCTTTTTAATTCTGACCTTATGTCCCCCTGCACCTTTAACTTTTGGAAAAAGGTAACTGGATCTAACCAACGCCTTTATCCACTGTGACATCCATTAAACATGGCACGTGGTACTAGAACAGTCTACCCCAGTGAGCAAAATAAAGGGTTCAGTTTGACATTCCAACCATCTAAAGAAGGCTGGAGCATACAACGGCTGAAACATTGTAATAAATATGGCAACAAGGATGAGGACAATAGAATAATGTAAATAGTGTACATAATACCTTATCTCAGAAATATAGACAGATACTGAGATAACACTTTGTTTTTAAATTTCCTTAAAAATCATTTAATCACCATTGCCTAAATATGTACAATCAAAGTATTGAAACATGAAAGCATTTGTGTGGCAATTTTAAAATGTTTTAATTATAATCTCTTATAATAAATATATATATATATATATATATATAACACACAAAATATATATACATATATAAAGATATATCAAGACACAGTATATATTATACTGATAAAAACAATGTATATATATCATAAGTATTAGAGAGGGTTTGAATTTAAATTCTAAAGACAAGAATTCCAGTCTGGGGAAGAAATCTGTGTGTGTATGTGTGTGTCTATCCCACTCATGAATTAACAATTTAAAGAATTGATTGACTAATCAATTACTAATCCTTAATCATCTAGAGTCAAATTTGAATTTTTTTTTGAGCAGATATGTTTAGAAGTTAAAATTTTTTTTTTTTCTATTAATTTATTGAAATGTTCATAATGAAAGATAAAAAAAGAAAAATGATACATTTATTTTGTAAAAAAAATTTTATTTTTCCACAAAATAAACATATCCTTCAAATGAATGGGGACTTTCTAAGCTAAGATGTGGTACTAGGCCAAAAATATGGAGCACCCACTGAGGATTGTTACTAAAGCAGTGATTAAGCGTCTTTTCATTTGCTCTTGCCTATTCCAATATTTTATTTTCATCTTTTGTAACAAAGAAACATATAGAACTCAGGTCATTAACATCACAGTCACTACAAAAGAAGATTAATTATATTATATTGCAAATCAGACTGGCAAATTGATTTATCCTTCAATTTGGAACATTTTTTTCCAAACATAAAATATCAATACTGTCTTATTTTTTACATATAAAGTGTCACATTTAAAAAGGGGGGGGTCCTCCAAAAATCACTCAGCATCTTAAACACCTGACACAGTTGTCTCATGAAGACCCTAGAATGGAATATTTATGATTATTAATGTATGTGATTAAGAAGAGAGGTAATGTAAAGAAACTCTCTCTAAATCCCCCTGTCCTTATACTGTGATAATACTGATTAGTTCAAGAATAGCACCTAAACAAACACATCCCTTGATAACACTATATATATATATATATATATATATATATATATATATATATATATATATTGTTCATCATTGAGTGATGGTATTATTAAAATAGTGCTTGATATAAATAAGAGCTATAAATTATATATTAATAATAAATATACATTTTCTTCCTCACCAGTAACACA